CTTCATATGATGTCAGAGTGTTCGCTAACGAATGTTTACCTTTTGTCATTAGGTGGGGGCTTGATCATATAGTCATATGACTCGCTCTGAAACACTATTCAAGTAAATATTACAATAAAATGATTTTTAAGACCTGAGACTCATTTTGAATGGCATTACAAGTTAAATAAAGTGTGATCAATAAGCCGTGGAATTTAAACATATATTGATATCAGCCAAAAATGATAAAACAACCAGAGCGTATTTATCATCCCAATGACAACAGATCTGTATTTCTAATGTTTTACTATTTATTTGTATTTTAGCAAAGCTTTTAAACCTGTCTGATGCCGTCCATAAATTTGAACTATCGATCAAAGGGAAGACAGCCAGTCAACAACACCCTAACACATACCATCCATGCTAAGGGATTGATTCTATAACCATTATAACGTACCCACAGCTTAAAAACAGGGAGAATATTTTGTGGTATCGCACGGATTCGAAACCGGCACGCCAGGTCTGAAATCCGGAACTCTATAAATGGGATAACCTGCTTACTGATTTATCTTTTATATAATATTTTACGAGAATTTTTCATTACTTAAAAAATAAAATATAAAAAATTGGTGTCATGATAAGAACAGAGAATTTGTCCGCTTGTTACTAAAATACGTCATCGACACGCCCTCTCTCGGTGGCTCAGCAATAAGCGTATAACACTGACATTCAGGGTTCGATTCCTGAGGTAGGCACAGATAAACAAACAGATGGTGTTAGTTTTTCATTAAGTTTTAAAGTCATTTTATTAGCTGAAGGCATATATTTATATACATTAATTCTTCTATAACACTTTGAGGATATGACTTCTTCTTAAACTTGACTTAATATCGTCAAAGGACAATAAAACGACAAAACATAAACATAGTTTTGGGTTAAACAAAGATTAAAACTTTAACCTATCAGAGAGCTATACTTCCCACACCAGCCGTGGGGGCACGAGTTTTGGGTTAAACAAAGATTAAAACTTTAACCTATCAGGGAGCTATACTTCCCCACACCAGCCGTGGGGACACGAGTTTTGGGTTAAACAAAGATTAAAACTTTAACCTATCAGGGAGCTATACTCCCCACACCAGCCGTGGGGGCACGAGTTTTGGGTTAAACAAAGTTTAAAACTGTAACCTATCAGGGAGCTATACTCCCCACACCAGCCGTGGGGCACGAGTTTTGAGTTAAACAAAGATTAAAACTTTAACCTATCAGAGAGCTATACTCCCCACACCAGCCGTGGTGAGAAATGTTACGCCTTGTTAAATAAACCCATATCGATTCAACATCTAATGTTTCTAAAAGTTCTCAGCGGATTTAAGAACAAATGGTGTTTCTATATTTTAATGTCGTTTGAGAAATGTACAGGATGTCCCAGAAGTCTGGACATCCTGGGGAAAATACACAATTTATTCTTAATTTATTTATTATTCAAATTGCATACCATTACCAGCCATACACATATCAGTTCTCGGTATACTGTGCAACCAGAATATTTTCTTTCCTTAAATATATACAACTGACATTAGAACTGTGTTTGTTTAACTTACAAAATATAATGTCTATTTTCCCTATGGGTCCAGACTTCTGGGACACCCTGTACAATTTGAAATGTGTTTGATACTTTTGTTTTTCTTTCTCAAGTGAAGCTACTGTTCATCAAATTTAAACGTGTTTAAATAACTCCTCGTAAGGTGGATTAAGAGAAATTTCATTCCCTTTGGCTAGGAGCAGAGTAAGTATTGTGAACATTGTACATCTATTGGCCTGTTTTATCAATATATTCACAGTCGTAGTGCAAACTGTTTCCAATCATCCTCATAGGAATTAATGTACTGGTGAAAACCATCTGCTGCCTGGGAAGTTCTTTTCAATAATTAATGTATTTTAAGTCTACGGACATCTCCTGAACAAGGGTAGACACGTAAGGATTTCGAGGCATTGCCAAAGGCAACAAATTAACGAGGTAATTTATTATATTTCTATTATAATCATTTCAAAGATGAACAAAGAAGCTGTTTAAAATATTAATGACATTCACAAACCAAACTCTATATATATGTATGAAACAACTTAATTTCCTGTGTGCACTAGCAATTTTGAAGGGTTCCCTAACAGCCCTAATTATCACAAGACAGACATATACAGCTGTTATTTTTATATTAGTTTATGATCTTGAACAGAAAAACTTCGATTGATGTGTGATGTTATATCTTATCTTTTTTTGTCAGATTATCAGACAGATAAAGTTATAACGTGTCTTTAAAATCGTTAACAGAAAAATGTAGAAAATTCAAGTAATTAAACCTCATTGACTTTTTCTTTTTTAACTTCTCTACCTGTGATTAGAATACATATTTCAAATATATTTTATCCCAGTTTCTCGAAGATTCTTTTTTATCGATATCGGGGAATATATAGTTTGATTTTAATGCTAACTATTGAATGAAAAAGAATATGTATATATATATATATATATATATATATATTAAATTACCCAGTTAAAACGTACAGAACCTCATTAAATCCGAATTCCTTTTTACTTTTAATGTTATATAGAATATGCCTAATACACATATACAAATCTCATGATTTTTTAACAGAAGGAAATGTTAGGTTTATTTGCTTCTTTTGTTTTTCTGAACACAAAGCAACACAATGGACTCTCTGTGTTGCTCCCACCACATGTATCAAAACCCGATTTGTAGAGTTATAAGCCCTCGGACACCGAGGGGTAGCTTTTAAGTATCTGAGGCTTTGCTCTAATTTTTTAAAAAAGAAGCTGGCTTCAAAATGTTACCATCTTGATGAGAACACTTTCTCTCCATTCATATAGTAAATATATTCTAAATTAAACAAGACCTGTGTTTCAGAAGCTAGCTGAAATAACACAATCTGGTAACATTTATTTATGGTAAAATCGTTTTATTCTTTCATGTTCAATAAACTAGTCCTACTATTCCTAAACATAAAACAACACTAGTCACAAATAGGACAGTACATTGTTTTCTACTGTTCTCACAGTCCACCCATCTTTCATCTCTCCCTGATGAACAATGATTAAAGACTGTCGTTTAATTAAATCTCTTTATCGTCGGTAAAGATTCACATTTTCCGACGGCTAGTGATGGCCAGCAGGAGTAAAATGGAAACGATATGCTAAGAATAGGAAATACTGGACTGGTCTGACGGAGAGCTACATCCTACGAGGGATAACTACAGCTTAGATAGATAGTGATGGCCAGTAAAAAAAAAACATTCATTAATATATATGTTTTGTTTTTTGTCATAACGTAATTAATAATCAGCCAAAACTTCAGTATGGACGTAAAGTTATACATATACTTTTGTTATAACTGATTATGGAAGTAAGATTGGGGTATATTTCTTTGATATTCTTAATTACGGAGTATATTCTTTTATTAATGAAGATTATAGTTGTATGACTAGAGTATATTGTTTTCTTATTGTTGATTATAGTTGTATGACTAGAGTATATTGTTTTCTTATTGTTTATTATAGTTGTATGAATGGGGGTATATTGTTTTCTTATTGTTTATTATAGTTGTATGACTAGAGTATATTATTTTTTTTTGTTGATTATAGTTGTATGAATGTAGTATACTGTTTTCGTATTGTTGATTATAGTTGTATGAATGGAGTATATTGTTTTCTTATTGTTGATTATAGTTGTATGAATGGGGTATGCTGTTTTATTATTGTTGATTATAGTTGTATGACTGGAGTATATTATTTTATTATTATTGATTATAGTTGTATGACTAGAGTATACTGTTTTCGTATTGTTGATTATAGTTGTATGAATGGAGTATATTGTTTCCTTATTGTTGATTATACTTGTAGGACTGGAATACAGCATTAACCCATGCTAATAATTTAAGCATGTTATAAAATGCTAGAACTAAAGAAGCGTGTGAAGTCCTTTCTTCACATCATTACTAATAAACATTGTAAATAGAGTAAACTGAATTTCGTACTTCGGTTCTAACGAGACCGCTTACAACACAACAACGTGAGTAAACTGAATTTCGTACTTCGGTTCTAACGAGACCGCTTACAATACAACAACGTGCTCTGTAAATCATGTCCCTCTGTAAGCTGGAAAATATCTCATCAGTTTTAGTAAATACTTCTCATTATTATTGAATATAAGAGATTACATTAGCTCAGAGGAACCTATCCATATTATATATTTAGTTTTTAGTTATTATGAAGCACTGTATTTCATTTCATGCGTAGTTAAAGTGGCTTCATTAAAATGTGTACGTGTTGGTGTGAAGTCAGGTATTAATACCGAAGTTTTGGTGTGCAAACAGTCCGGTATTAATACTCTTGTAGAATATGTTTAACAAAGTAGCAGGCGTCCTACACTTTCCAATTTTTCATTGCTTTATGTATCTTATTTGTATATGTACAAGCAAATTTTCTACTTACAATATATATATGATAGAACACATGAAAAACAAGGCCTTTACACATAGCTTAAGGAACTTACTACAGCGCCCTCTGAAGGACGGTTTTATATTCACAATTTAAACTTGATCTTTGACCGGGTTCTAATGCAATTCCCGTATATAAATGTCTTAGAAGCTGAAACACAATTAAAAACAGCCCTTCATTTAAATTATCGTCTGTTTTTTTCAACTGTTTGAAAGTTGTCGTTAAACGTCCTACTTTCTTGACATTCCCATTATCTTCAGAGTTACAACGCTAATGATCCAGTGTTTGGTCGAAGCCCGCTACATGTATTAAAACACATTATTAAAGCATCACAGTCACGTAACAGACTTATGTACAGACATAAAGGACAGCCGTTTCCATCTGGATAACTGAAACAATCACCAATATTATAGGAACTTATGTACACTGATAACAGGATTGGTCCAACGTCCGTCCTAGTCTACCCTTGCCGGCGTGCTTGAAATATACGAACCTGGTGAAGACCTGTTTCTCCTCTTGATTTTCTCTTGTTGTGCATGAGCACAGTGTCTAGCCTCCTTCGTTCAGTGTGGGCACATAGCTAACTGTGCCGAGGAGGTAGGAGTAAAAGAATACATTGGATAAGGAGCCATGATTGGTCCCAAGATCGGTCGACTACCATCGGCGGCGACGGAACTTAGATGTGCTGGAGGCGGAACTCCGGGAAGGAATGTCGCTGCGGACACCGGCAGCCCGAAACCGAAGTTGGGTAGGAGAGGTCTAGCAGACATCCGGAGCTTCTCCAGCTCAGCTTCCTTAAGTCTCTTTTCTTTGGCTCTCCTGTTCTGGAACCAGATCTTCACTTGAGTTTCCGTAAGATTCAAGGAGCTCGAGAACTCTGCGCGTTCAGCGATAGACAGGTACTGTTTAGTCCGAAATTTTCTCTCCAGGGCCAAGAGTTGCTGGGTGGTGAACGGAGTCCTAGGCTTACGGTTACTCTTATGCTTTCGTAGCTGGCATTTAACAGTTGGTAGCTTAGGAGGTTCTCCGGACTCTAAAATAAAACAATAATAACATATAGCTTAGGAGGTTCTCCAGACTCTAAAATAAAACAACAATAATACATAGCTTAGGAGATTCTCCGCACTCTACAATAAAACAATAACACACAGCTTAGAAGGTTCTCCGGACTCTACAATAAAACAATAACATATAGCTTAGAAGGTTCTCCGGACTCTACAATAAAACAACAATAATACATAGCTTAGGAGATTCTCCGCACTCTACAATGAAACAATAACACACAGCTTAGAAGGTTCTCCGGACTCTACAATAACACACAACTTAGAAGGTTCTCCGGACTCTACAATAAAACAATAACACACAGTTTAGAAGGTTCTCCGGACTCTACAATAAAACAATAACACACAGCTTAGAGGGTTCTCCGGACTCTACAATAAAACAACAACAATACCTGGTTTACTCGAGGGCTGTCTGCGATAGCATTCACTAATTTACCAGTGATGGACTAGATGGAAGGCAGCTAGTCATCACCATCTCATGGACTAGTCTTTACTGACGAATAGTGGGACTAACCTTCGCATTATTCGCTCCCATGGTTGAAAGGACAGGCTAGTTCGGTGATGGGATTAGACGAATTCCAGAGCCACCAAACCATGCCAGGCCTAAAGCAGTCGGCAGGAATATGTTGAACAACCAATAGTGTGAATTTGCCTATAAGCCTTCTGGTGGTGATTTCCTTTCGGAAAATATTTTTTCCGCATATAATATAAATAACCCACTATTTAAATAAATAATAATAAAAATACTACGAGTAAAAAACTATAAACTAATTCAAGTAACATAATTCAAAAAGTTTTCGTATTATTAACTACACAACGACATTCTAAACATCAAAGTTAACTGATTCCCTTGATGAAGCTGATAAACTGTAGAAGAAAAATTGGATTGGTTTATTAGTCATGTGTTATTCTCCTGTACACATTCTATTTGTTGACCTACCAGAACACTTTCACAGATTAAACAAACATATAATGTTTGGCTGTAGTATAAAAGAACCCTATTGTTATCTGTAAACCGTTAGAATCATGTTACTACATAAAATAAATGTGTATCATACAGGTGGTTAGAATCATGTTACTACATAAAATAAATGTGTATCATACAGGTGGTTAGAATCATGTTACTACATAAAATACATGTGTATCATACAGGTGGTTAGAATCGTGTTACTACATAAAATACATGTGTATCATACAGGTGGTTAGAATCATGTTACTACATAAAATACATGTGTATCATACAGGTGGTTAGAATCGTGTTACTACATAAAATACATGTGTATCATACAGGTGGTTAGAATCGTGTTACTACATAAAATACATGTGTATCATACATGTGTATCATAAATAAGTGTATTTATAAGATTGCTACATAACATAATAAGTGCGTGTTTGTAGGATTACTACATAACACAATAAGTGTGTTTAGGATCACTCCATGACGTATAGGGTTACAACACAATATTCCCGAACCGTATATCACGTGCTAGGCTCATGTTAAGGATTGCTGTATAAGGTGTATGTAATTAGAATTAATTCATCAAATCTTTAATGAGTACAACCTACCTGTCTAAAAGTTTTAAATGACTCTTTTAGACTCACACGTTGAGGACTATTACGGATACGCCTATTTGTATTTCAGTTAGTAAGTTATCTAAAAAGTACCCTTTGACATTTGTTACGATTTATCACGTTTAACATTTTAGCAACAAACGTTATTAACTACAAGTAACATGAGTACATACCGCCAAAGGCTCTAACTGTACGAAAACAAAGTTTTTGTGTAATATTATTTCTTTGTAAACCTAAAGAGAAAACTTTTCTCTAATGTTAAAAGTAGGAAATAAAAATTAACAACCCACGATTTCGAAATACCGTGTAATAGTAGAAAATGGTTATATTTCAACCAAATGTTCCCCCAAAACTCTCGTTAGTTCTTTCACTACCATAGTCATTATTTCAATGTCGATGATAAACAAACAAAAAATCAAGGAATCCATCTTAATTGAACAAAACAACCCTACTCTAAACCAACACCCCGGGGTGCCTAGATACCTCTTCTAAGTTTCACAACAGTTCCAGTCATGTGACTTCTTTGTTCAATACTGTATGTATATATCCATGTCAGTGTAAATTACTTGTACCTGATGATGACAAAACCTTGTCGAAACGTTGTACATTTGCTGTTATGTTAAACTTATATTAAAGTTTTTCTTCATTACCCATTCAAGCCATCTGCAGCTATGGCCTACTTTACATATTACTTTTATGCCTATTCTAACCAGTTTGTCAACAAGAATATGCTGGTATTGTAGGCATTTTATGGATCTAAGGTTACTGCCAATATTTTATTCTGACATGCTTTAACCCTCTGACTACTATACACTCATTAAACTCCATTCTGTGAATGTCATGAGATTTTACTGAGTTACATTCAGAATTTAATAAAAAATGTTAATGTATGTTAATGAGGTTAGCATTAGTGTGAATGTTATTATTCAAAGTTTTATATTAATTATGTTTTAATTCCTTTATTTCAAAAGAAGCTTTTAAAAAACATAAACTTTAGATTTGTTGTCATGTTATGGAAGAGCATTCAAAAATCATAATTATAGGTCTATATTACTTGAATTATAATCCATCTGCAGTATATGAGTATGTCTGGACTCAAAACTATGTATACAAGGTTATTTACCCATCACTTGTTTCAAATTCCTTCAGATCAGTTCAGAAGCCACACCCACCTTCTGTACTAGACTTGAGATTTACAAGCAAAATCTATTTATTTTATGTACATACTTATAACGATTAGAAATTACTCATTTTAAACTACAGTCTCCCAATGGTTATTTTAAAACTGCCATGAAGTATTAATTACCAAGTTTGTCTAACTTTGGGTAGTATTGTTTGCTGCTTTTTTCCTAACTAGCAATTAGTGTTGTTTCTCACCTAGATACGTATTACTTATATAGACGGTTAAATTGTATTTAGATTTTACTTTTATATTTTAGTTAATTATGTATAATATATTTTTTACAATACATATTGGAAGGGTTTAATATTTTTTTAATATAAACAAAATCTTGCCTCGGTTCACGAGGCTTATATTAGTACACAAGTGCAAGAACATTTTGCCAAAGGCTAAAGTATCTCTGCTGATGATACTGTAATATGGCACATGTTGACATGAATAATAAACAGTAAAATACAAGAAAATAAAACATTAAAAGTTAACTAAAAGTGAAAAGATAAAGATGTGAATTACAAATATAGCCCAAAGAAAATATTTTAAGGTTATTCCACGAAGAGTTTAAAGATATTTGCATGTTTGTGTGTTTTTTAATTTTAAACATTTCATTGTACTGTATGTTTATGATGATAGCTACACTTAGTGGTATGGTGGATAAATATATACATTTATCTTTAAAAAAAAAAACCTTCTGACGTTCGTTTAGGAGGCTCCAAAGGTTATGGAAATGAAATTTGAAAACTGTAAGATAAAAAATAGTATTTTTATACCTAACATGAAAATAACCTTGCAGATGAACAATTCAGAGTCTGAGTGCAAATAACTACATTAACTAATGAATTTTTAGTAGAAATAGTAGAAACTACATACCTTTGGGAAAGTTACTGTCAAATTTCAAACAGTTTCATTCACCAATTTTATTTTTGAAATGAAATATCACAAGAGTTACCTTGCAATGTAAAGATGTGGTAACCAGAGATTTAAAGCCTTTTTGTGTATCATAAGTTCAATAGCATTGATCAGGCTTTCTCTTCATCATTGATGACCACCTAATGATGAGGGTGGCAGTGGTTCAATCTGAAAGGCAAGCTTTCTAACTACAGCCTTCTCTAGAATATTGTCAATAATGTTTTGTAGGATGGTAATTTAATAGATGAGAATGATACTTCATGAGTTAGGGTGGGGATTTAATAAAGACATTAACTTGGGTATGATCATATTTTATCTCATTCTCTCTAACAGTACACTTGATTCTTGGGTATGTAGAGAAAAATAATCAATGTACAGTGAAATGAAAAATATGAAATAAGATTGGTAGTACCATTCTTCCCTCTGTCGTATTGAAACAAAGTTCCAAATTATTTATGTGAACAGTTTCAAAGGTTAAAACTTTTCATATCTGTTTTCTTTTATGGTTTTATTGCAGTGTGTTGTACCCAAAGAAACAGCAACCTTTGCAGCAAAAAAAGTAATAAATTACAATGTGAGCCATTAGTTGTTTCCAGCAAACATTTACACAAAACAGCATGTGAAACACAACACGAGAATTGCTGAACATGAATTTCACTTCAAGCTTATGTAATTAGATTGTTTTACCAAAGCTTTATTTGGATAAGCTGAGAAGTGTCTAATATTTACATTTTAGTAACTTCTGTTTGAAAAAACAATGATTTGTGTTACTCATTGCACTATTAAAGTGGTTTGCTATTCTTCTCTATGCTTCATTAAGTGTCACAAATTTGGGTGTCCAAAAATATATACCAGTCATTAGATTAAAGTATCCTAAACCTAATATAAATTACCTGGCTTTCTAAGTAAGCTGTAAGTAGGTTAAACTTTATTAGCCATTCAGAGTAGCCCTATGATGATAGCAGTATGAGAAACATGTGACAACCAAATAACTTAGGTTGTAAGAATGGGACAATGAGAGACTGACCTTTGTAGAGGAAAATCTGCTATTTCTGTTGGTTAAAACATGTTCTGTAGCATTGTAAAGTTGCTTACTAAAAAAACATCAAAAGGTATAGAGATATGGTTAGATTCTCTCATAGGTTTGACATATTTATAGATATCTGAAGGAGATGGGTACAAAATTTATATTGTTTGTTATTATGTATGGTTTGTGTTTCTGATTGGTGGAAACTTCTTTTAGAAGCTAGAAAATTCTTAAGTGGAGAAATTGAAACTCAGAAGTGTCATGTGTCATTTTAAAATTCTCACTCT